CCCTGTTGATGACGTCAGCTACGCGGTTTCGTCGAGCGCGCTTTAGTCGAACGCGGTTTTGTGGTGGAACCCCTGTATTCTACCCTATAAAAACCCCAACCATGAAAGGCAGGGCGTTTTTACCAGCTTCGTCCAAAATGAAGCCTCCGTGTCTGGGTTTTTTTGCAGGCCGATCATCATCTTCGTCTTCCTCCTCGTCATACTCTTCCTCTTCCTCCTCTTCTTCCTCCTCCGCTTCTTCTTTCTCACTTCCTACGACGCTGGCCCTCTCTTCTGCCTGCAGGGACGAGGGAGAACCAGTCTGGCTTAAACTAAACCTCAGCTTCCCTGGGAAGATAAGGGTTGGTCCCCTAGTTTGCCAAAGGGGAACCCTGAATCCCAGTTGCCAGCCCTTAGTGGCTCAGGCTCACCTCATTCTCCTCCACCTCCTCCGGCTCGCTGCTGCGCTCGCTCTCGTCTTCGGAGAAGTTGCTGTCTTCGCTGTCGGACATCTTGACTGCCCTCTCTGGCCACGGAGGAAGAGAAGCCCAGAGGGGAAATTCTGATGTGCCTGATGGGGAAGGGGATTGGCTCAGACTGGGACAGGATAGGAGAAGGACCCTGGGCGCAAAGGAATTCCACATAGTTTTCTCTCACTCAGTGAAGGATACGGCAATGAACCAGTTTGGTCTACTGCAGGGGTCTCCCAACCCCCGGCCCACTATCAGGCCGAGACCTATTCGGAATTGGGCCGTGTTGAGTGGCAGGTCAGCATGTGTGCACATGCAGCCCTTGTACAAGCGGCGGGCACAACTTAGGCTGCTCACACAGCCCAGTTTCCCTCCACCCAGACAGGCTGCAAAGGTTAGGCACCACTGAACTAGTGGTTAAAGCCGTGTTTCTCAACCTTGGCCACTTGAAGATGTCTGGACTTCAACTCCCAGAATCCCCCAGCCAGCATTCGATTCTTCAAGTGGCCAAGGTTGAGAAACACTGGGTTAAAGCACCAGGTTAGAAAGAGAGAGATGGTGAGTTCAAGTCCCGCCTTAGCCATGAAAGCCGGCTGAGCGACTTTGGCTCAATCCCCAGGGGATGCCGAGTTCTAGTCCTGCCCTAGCCGTGAAAATGAGCTGGGTGGAATTTTGGGCCAGTCCCTTTCTCTCTCTCAGCCCAGCCCACCTCGCAGGGTTGTTGTGGTGCGGAAAGCAGGAGGAAGGGGGAATATTAAGACACGTTCACAGAAACAATCAAGGTGGGATGCAAATAAGAAAGACAAATAAACAGCCAAACGC